GCAGCAGCAGCAGCAGCAGCAGCAGCAGCAGCAGCAGCAGCAGCAGCAGCAGCAGCAGCACCTGGGAGATGTGTTTGGGCCTGTTCTTGAGACGCAGCTGCAGCCTTTCTGGCAAATCAGCAGCAGCAATTGCTGCATCTCTTGCTGTTGCAGTTCCTTTGGCCAACTCATCAGGTTCTCCAAGGCGTTCCCAGCAGCTGCGGGGAGCAGCAGCAGCAGCAAACTCGTCTTCTGCTGCTGCTGCTGCTGCTGCTGCAGCAGAGTCCCCCGCAGCAGCAGCAGCAGAACGCCGCTCCTCAAACGCCATCCGCTCCTCTGAACGCCGCAGCTCTGCGTCCCCACGAGGCCGAGTCCTGCAGCAAACCCTAAACTCTAAACCCTAAACCCTAAACCCTAAACCCTAAACCCTAAACCCTAAACCCTAAGCGCCAGACCTTAAACCCTAAACCCTCATCAGCTGGGGCTCTTTAGGGGCTGGTGGCTGTCCCTGCTGGCTGCTGCTATACTCCCTCCCGCCCTCTCAGGGTGTGCAAATTAGGGTTTAGGGTTTAGGGTTTAGGGTTTAGGGTTTAGGGTTTAGGGTTTGGGACCTGTTATCACACAAGATGTTGATGACTGCGTCGATGTCTCCGAAGCAATCGTAAACAAGAGACCAAATGTCGTTGAGGCGCTGCGAAGATCCTGCTGCTGCTGCTGCTGCTGCTGCTGCTGCTTCTGTGTCTTCTTCTGCTTCTTCTTCGGGTTCGGAGGCCCCGTCGAAGAGTTCTGCTGCTGCAGCAGGGGCCCCCCTGCTGCTGCTGGGGGCCCCCTCCTCTTCTCCGCTGCTGCTGCTGCGCTGCCCCCGCTTTGCTGCTGCTGCTGCTGCTGCTGCAGTGGTTGCTGCTGCTTTCTTGAGGCGGCGGAACTGCTGCTGCTGCTGCGCGGCGCCGTCCTCGTTGTCCGTGTCGCCCTGCTGCTGCTGCTGCTGCTGCTGCTGCTGCTGCTGCTGCTGCTGCTTCCTGCTGCTGGGGCTGCTGGCCCCCACCAGCAGCCCCGTGTTCTCAGCTATCAAGTCCAAGTCATCTTCGTCTAAGGCCGGAGTGCCTTCGTCTCCCTCGTTGCTGCTGCTGCTGCTGCTGCTGCTGCTGCTGTCGGATTCGCTTTCTGCTTCCGAAACTATAAACCCTTTCATTTCCTCCCGCAGCACTTCTTCTTCGTCTTCGATTTCATCTTCTTCAGAGCTGTCTTCGCTGCTGCTGCCTGCGCTCTCCTGCTGCTGCTGCTGCTGCCGCGACCGCCTGCTGCTGCTGCTGCTGCTGCTGCTGCTGCTGCTGCTGCTGCTGCTGCTTTTGGACTTGGAGCTCTTCCGCTCTTTCTTCCGCCGCTTCTTTTTGCTGCTGCGCTCGCCCTTTGAGTGTCTCCGTCTCTTCTTGCGGCTGCCGCCCTCTTCGCTGTCTTCTGCTGCTTGCTGCTGCTGCTGCTGCTGCTGCTGCTGCTGCTCCTCGTCGTCTTGCTGCTGCTGCGGCTGCTGCTCCTCCCCCCCCTCCTCGTCCTCGCCTTGCTTGGGGTCTTCGTCGCCCTCTCCCTCCTGCTGCTCCTCATCTTGCTGCTGCTCCTCATCTTGTTGCTGCTCCTCATCCTGCTGCTGCTGCTGCTGCTGCTGCTGCTGCAGCTCCTGTTGCTGCTGGTTTGTGTCCTCCAGCCCCGGCGAGTCACTGGGGCCCCCTGCTTCGGCTTCCGCCATGGTGAGTTGCAGCGGGCATTCCCGCTGCTGCTGCCGCTGCTGTTGCTGCTGCTGCTGTTGCTGCTGCTGCTGCTGCTGCTGCCGCTGCTGCTGCTGCTGCTGCTGCTGGCTGCAGTGGGAGCACTGGGCTCCTCGATAAGAGCAGCAGAGGACCCTTTAGTCTCTTAAACTGAAAAAAAAATATTTAAACTTAATAACGGCAGCCCTAACACTACGGCAGCAGCAGCAGCAGCAGCTGCTTCTGCGGTGCTGCTGCTGCTGCTGCATGCAGCTGCTGCTGCTCTTGGGGCTGCAGCCGCAGCAGCAGCAAGATCTAACTTGCTATAAACTAACCTTTTTAAATTTTTCTATTAGTGACAAAGAAAGGGGAAAAGCGACTCATAGCTGTCCTCCAGGCAGCGCCAGCCTAAACCCTAAACCCTAAACCCTAAACCCTAAACCCTGAAGCCCAGTTGCCGATTCAGCGGGCAATCAGCACACTAGCTAAATCCTTTATTTTATTTTTAAAAATCAATTAACACTTTGTGGAGGCCTGGAGATCTATATATATCATTGCTGCTGCACACGACGGCAGCAGCAGCAGCCGCAGCAGCAGGATCTATAGCAGCAGCAGCAAGAGCTACTGCAGCAGCAGCAGCAGGAGCTGCGGCAGCAGCAGCAGCTCAAACAGGGCTCGCAGCAGCAGGGGTAGCAGCAAATGCGTATCACTAGCTCTGGCCCTGACCCGCAAGCCCCAAGCAGCAGCAGCAGCAGCAGCAGCAACTGTTGCAGCAAAGGCGCCCGCATCAGCAGCAGCAGCAGCAGCGGCAGCAGCAGCAGCAGGCCCTTCGAGTGCAGCAGCTGCGGCAGGTCTGAGGTGTCTTTGCTGCTGCTCTGTGGGGTCCCCGGCAGCGGCAAATCTTCGCTAGCTAGGCAGCTAGCAGCAGCTGCTGCAGCAGCTGCTGCAGCAGCTGCTGCAGCAGCTCGTCCTAACAATGGGGGGAGGAGACGATCCCAAGGGGGAACAGCAGCAGCAGCAGCAGCAGCAGCAGCAGAGCCTGCTGCTGCTGCTGCTGCTGCTGTTGCTGCGCTAGCAGAAGCAGCGGATGTGGCCTGCAAGAGGCGGGCATCGGGAAGCTGCTGCTGCAGCAGCAGCTCCTGCTGCAGCTGCTGCTGCAGCGCTGCAGCGCCGCAGCAGCAAAACGATCCCAGTAAACACGATCCCAGGGAGGCAGCAAAAGGGCCCCCCAACAGCCCGAGCGAGAAGACCCCACAAGCTGCTGCAGGGGCCCCCCGCGAAGCAGCAGCAGCAGCAGCAGCAGCAGCAGCAGCAGCAGCTCTGAGGCTCCGAGACGATCCCGAGAAAGACGATCCCAGAGGCGATCCCAAGGAAGACGATCCCAAGAGAGTCGACCCCACAGACGACCCCACAGACGATCCCAGAGGCGATCCCAGAGGCGATCCCAGAGACGATCCCAAAGACGATCCCATCGATCCCAGCTGCTGCCGGCGTTTGGAGGTGATTTGGCTGGAAGTGGATGCCTTAGAAGCAACAGCAGCAGCAGCAGCAGCAGCAGCAGCAGCAGCAGCGCCGCAGGAAGCGTGGGGCCCCACAGTGGGGTCGTTGGGATCGATGGGATCGGTGGGATCGATGGGATCGATGGGATCGATGGGATCGATGGGATCGATGGGATCGATGGGGTTTGATGCTTCGAGGTGGAAGGCCGCGAGGCGAAGGGCCCCACAGCTGGTGCAGCAGCTGCTGCAGGCGCATGCAGCGCAGCGCGCTGCTGCCCGCTGCTGCTGCTGCTGCTGCTGCTGCCGCTGCTGCTGCAGCAGCAGCAGCAGCAAGAGCCGCGCTCCGTTGCTGCTGCTGCTGATTGACGACACACATCACCTTCCCTCCTTCCGCAAGCCTTTTTATCAGCTCGCCCGCCGCTGTACAAACCCTAAACCCTAAACCCTAGGCCATAAACCCTAAACCCTAGGCCATAAACCCTAAACCCTAGGCCACAAACCCTAAACCCTAAAGCCTGGGCGAGAGGCCCTAAACCGTACGTCCTAAACCCCAAACCCTTGTAAGCCTTAGGGTTCACGCCAGCAAACCCTTCCAAGCGTTTAGGGTTTAGGGTTTAGGGTTTAGGGTTTAGGGTTTGCGTCTGCAGGGGGTTGCGGGTTTGCCCAGCTGTGGGTTTGGTCTCCTCTCTTTTGCTGCTGCTTGCGGCGGCCTTCTCTAAACCCTAATCTTCTTGCTGCTCACGAAACCCTTTTAAACAAAGACAAAACTGTCTGCTGCCTTGCTGCAGCACAAGAGCCCAGCAGCAGCAGCAGCAGCAGCAGCAGCAGCAGCAGCAGCGGCAGCAGCAGCAGCAGCAGCAGCGGCAGCAGCAGCCAGGGAGGTTCGGGCGGGTGGCGGTCTGGGCCGACACTGTGGAAGGTCCCAGGGGATACAACTGAGGCAGTAAACCCTAAACCCTAAATAAACCCTAAACCCTAAACCCTAAACCCTAAACCCTTTTGCTAATCCCGGGAATAGACTTTAAAACCAAGCCCTAAACCCTAAACCCTTAGCCTGGCTGGCGCATTTGCCTTAACAGCGTGAGACCTAGGGTTTGGGGCTAGGGTTTAGTTCTAGGGTTTAGACTCGGGGTTGAGACTTCGGGTTTAGTCCTAGGGTTTAGAGTTAGGGTTTAGGGTTTAGGGTTTAGGGTTTAGACCCTCTTTTTCTCTTTCAGCTGCGCCTCATCTCCGCTGCAGCTCGCAAAGGCCTTTTAACCCTTTGGAAACCTCCGCAGACACTCCAACCAACTGGGGGCCCCTGGGGGGCCCCCGGGGGCCCCTGTGGGGCCCCGGGGGGTACCTGTGGGGCCCCTGGGGGCCCCCGTGGGGCCCCTGGGGGCCCCACAAACTCACATGAAGGCCCCTGTGGGGTGGCGGGTGCTTCTGTTTTACCTGCAGCAGCAGCAGCAGCACCCGCAGCAGCAGCAGCACTTGCTGCAGCAGCACCTGCAGCTGCAGCAGCAGCAGCACCTGCAGCAGCAGCAGCACCTGCTGCTACTTCTGCTGCTGCAGCAGACGCGAGACTCCGCCTTGTGGTTTCCAATGTTTTGAAGACCGCTGCCAAAGACCTGCCTGCAGGTTATAGGCCTAACCCTAAACCCTAAACCCTAAACCCTAAACCCTCGGACCTAAACCCTAGACCCTCAGCCCTAGGACCTAAACCCTAAACCCTAGGGCGCAGGGGCCCTGAGGAATCACTGAACTCTTCTTTACGAGGGTTTGGGCCATTGAGGCCGCC